GTTTGTCTTCTTCATTTTGTTTTCTGCTCCATTCATTGTGGCCTCTCTGCCACTATTTCTGGATTCTTTGTATTTTTCTTTTTTAGACTATCCTGCAGTATTCTCTTTAGAGTTGAATTGGTGGTTGCATATTCCCCTAGTTCCTCTTTATCCTGGAAGCACCTTGTTTTTCCATCAATTTCCAGTTGTGCAGTATATATCAATCTTGGCTGGAGATTATTATCTTTCAAATCTTGAATTATTTCCCCGCACGCTCTTCATGATTTGATGGCTTGTGCAGAGAAATCTGCTGTAATTCTGATGGGTGTTCCCTTGTAAGTGGTCTGTTTCTTGTCTCTGACAGCTTTTAATATTCTGTTCTTGTATTGAATTTCTGGAATTTTAATTATTATATGCCTGCATGTTGCTCTGTTTGAGTTGTAGGTGGCTGGGGTCCTGTATGCTTCATACATCTGAGTATCTTTACCTTTTGCTAAATTAGGAAAATTCTCCTGGATTATTTCTGTGAGTAGCTTTTGTAGTTCATTTGTTTGTGTCCCTACTTCTTCTTTTATGTTCTTAATTCTTAAGTTATGGATCCTCTTATCATCTTCTAGTCTTTGTATTATTGCTGTTTGTTTCTTTGTTACTTTTAAGAAGTTTTTCATTTCATTCTCCCATATTACAAATCTGCCCTCCAGTTCAGATAGTCTGTCCTTAGTTTCTTTCAAGCTGTTATGCCAGTTTTTGATAGAGTTTTTAGTTTCCTGGTAGTCTCTTTGAACCTGCTTCACGTATTCTATGCTTTCTCTATTTTCTCCATCAAACAATTCTCCCCTCTTTTCCTGTTCTTCCATTCCGCCATCTGTTTTTTCTTGGGTGGTGCTTAGCATTTCTCTAACTATTCTGCTTATTACTAGCTTCAGGTCATTAATAACTTCATTCCTGAACTCATCTATGAGGCTCTCTAGATGGCGCTTTATGTCTATTGGTGTGGTGTCCACTATTGCCTGTTTCTCAGGATTGGGGGCCAAAGGGCCTTTCTTGTTGCTCCCTCTTCCCATATTCTTTGTTCCTTATTTATGCAAGCGTATATAAGAGGTCCAGCTTCCTTCCCTGTCAGCCACAGCCTGATCGAATTGCGCCAGCTAGGTGTTCCTGCCCACTGCAGCACACCAGTGCAGACCAGGCAGCCTACGCGGGGCCCGCCCCTCCAGGCCACCCTCAGGCTCTGGGATCTGGGTTGTGCTAGCCTACTGGGTCTCAGCCAGCAGCGTCACGTAGGCTAGGCACTTCTCACCAATCCCGCTTGAGAGGGGGATACGTGGCTGAAGTCGCTGCAGCACCCTGCTCCCGCAAGTCTGCCTAGTCCCAGAATGTCCTCCGCTGGAGTCTCCTAAACTGTGGAAGAGTGTCAATTTCTCTCACTCACCTCACCGCAAATCAATGCACAGCTCCCCGCCGGTCCTGTTTTCAACTCCGTTCGCCGATTCCCATTCTCAGAGCTTCCGCGCGTCTCTCTCCCTGCCGAGCTGATGCAGACGCAGCCGCAGTGCAGCGGGAAACCCAAATCGTGGCTTCCAATGGCACGGGCTCCAGCTTCCACACTGAGGCTTTTCTGTTCCTGTAATAGCACCAGGATTGCATTCCAAGTTGGTTTCTCTCAGCCCAGTTCGTTCTTAGGTCAGCAGGGCATATCTCCACTTGCTTATGATTCCTTACTCCACACCATTCCTGAATTCTAAGCTGAGTCTTTCAGAGAGCCTCCTTAGCTGTTGCTATCTGTCCTCCATGTTCTCCCGGAAGTCTGACATTTTCAATTTCAATAGCTGGTATTGGGTTATTCAAAATTGCTATATCTTCTTGGTTGAGCTTTTGTAGTTCGTATGTTTCTAGAAATCTGATCATTTCCTCTTTATTTTATTTTATTATTTTATTTTATTTTTTACCAGGGATCAAACTCTTGACCTTGCACTTGCCAGGCAAGTGTTTATGCCACAGAGCTAAATCCCTGGCATGACAATGGGCTGTTAAGGTCCCCTATTATTATTATGTTCTTGTGTATTTGGTTTTTCATGTCCATTAATATTTGTCTTACATAGTTGGGTGCTCCTGTATTTGGTGCATATATATTTATAACTGTTAGTTCTTCCTCTTGAATTTTTCCATTAACAAGTATGTACTGACTGTCTTTATCTCTTTTAATTATTTTAGGTTTGAAGTTCACAATGTCTGCAAATAGAACAGTTGCCCCTGCTTTTTTCTGGGTTCCTGTTGCATGGAATGCTGTTTTCCATCCTTTGACTTTTAATCTATAGTTTTGTTTTGAGTCAAATGTGTTTCTTTAATACAGGGTATTGTGGGATCATGTTTTTTGATCCATTTTATCAACTTGTTTTTTTTTATAGATGAATTGAGCCCATTTACATTTATGGATATCACTGATATGTACTGGCTTGACTTTGCCACATTATGTTCCAGTTGTTTATTTTCTGCTTTTCCCCATTGTTTAATTTCTTGTCCTATTTGGTGATTTCTTTCTGTTGTTGTTCTGGGGATTGTGATCATTTTTATCTCTATCTAACATGTCTTTCAATTCTCTTTCTGGGGTTGGTTTGGTGGACATGAATTTTTTCAGTTGTTCTTTGTCATGGAAGTATCTTATTTCTCCATTAAATTTGAATGAAAGTTTTACTTGGTACATTAGTCTGGGTTGAAGTTGTTTTCTTTCAGGGATTGAAATATCTCACTCCAAGCTTGTCTTGACTTGAGGGTTTGTGCTGAAAAGTCTGCCATGTTCTAATGGGTTTTCCTTAATAGGTGAGCTGTGTCTTTTCTCTAACAGCTTTTAGTGTTCTGTTTTTATGCTTCATGTCTGGGATCTTAATTATTATATGTCTGGGTGTATATTTATGTTGATTGTGATTGTTTGTGTTCTATATGCTTCACTTATCTGCATATCAGATTTTTCCCCATGTTTGGGAAATTTTCTGCTATTGCTTCTGTACCATTTGTATTGACTCCTGCATCTTCACTGATGCATATTAGTCTTATATTGTTTCTCTTGGCATCATCTTGAAGCTGCTGTACTGTTAATTCATGCTGCTTTGTTATTTTTAAAAGTTGTATACTCTCATGATCACTAATTGCGATCCTGTTCTCAAGGTCCGAAATTCTATCCTCAGCTTCATTTAAACAGTTTTGCCAGCTTTCAATAGAATTTTTTGTTTCTTGGATGTCTGTTTGAGTTTGTTTCATGAATTTTTCTTGTTTTCTATATTGTTCATTCAAGGTTTCAATCCGTTTCCCATGCTCCTGTACTTTTTATCTATTTCTTCTCTAGCTGCGCTAAGCAACTCCTTTACTAAGGTTATTTCTGTCTTTACATGGGAGAGTACTTCTAATTTGATTTCCTCTATAGCCTCATGGAGTTGTTTTTTTATTTCACTTGTTATCTTCTTAGAGATTTCCAGTGTGTCACTTTTGAAATCCTCTATTTCAGTGTCTCCTCTACTTGCTCTTGGTGGACTAGATGTTTGAGATTGTGTTTTGCTTTTTTGTTTTGCCACTTTCCCCTTTTGGGCTAATATTTGGTCCTTCAATCGCACTAGTGTCAACTGTTGGTAGTGTGTATCTTAGGGTCCTATTGTAAGGTTGATGCTTCTCCAGTTGCTGGGTCCCACAATGAAGAGGTGGGCCAGTCACCTGACTTCCCTTTGCAGGGCCTGTTGGGTGAGTCCTGTGTTCTTCCTAGGCTTACAAGCCTAGGAGTATTGATGGAAATCAACCCCTGGTTCCCACTGTTATTATGTCCTCAGTTGTTCAAAGTCACCAGATCTCCCTGTTTATAGTATCTGTCTCAGGTGGTACACTACTATGTCTCTGGGTATCCCACAGGCCCCCTTAGTTTTCTGCAGGTCGGGGGAGGCCTTCTTGGCACCCTCCTCAACCTACTTGATATTCTCTGTGTGGAGGAAGGGCTCACCCACCCACTTGCCAAGCTTGCCTATGGCCTACTTCTGGAGGGGGCTTCTCTGTTGCTCCTGTTTACCCACCGAAGGTGGCAAACTCTATTCCTATTTTATGGGCAAACTCACCTCACTGATGGAAGCCTGCTGAGTTCTTCTTACTGAGTCTTCCCTCGATACTACATGGTTAATAAGAATTATAACAAAATTTATCATAACTAATTATAACTGTTATATCTTGGATGATTGTGACTAGGGCAGGTAGACACTGGGGTAGAGAAGTATTTGATCTTGCTTGTTACATCAAGAGCATTAAAAGTTAATTTTACCACATGAAACAAATTAATAAAACTAAACCTCCTATTAGAAAGCATTAAATTTTAGTGATTTTTAATCCACTTAGATGTTCTTATAATTATGAATAAAATGAGATATAAAAAATTAAAAAGGGTTAAGTTATATCTATGTCATTGGTAGAATGATTATGGAGCTTGCACAAAGCTCTGAGTTTGTTCCTTAGCACTGATAAAAAATAAATAAAAAAGAAAACCAGGCATGGTGGTGCATGAAAACATAGCACTCAGCAGGCTGAAGTGGGGGGTTCATTGCAAGTTAGAGGCCAGCCTATACGACATAGTTAGTTCATGCCCTGCCTGAACTAATAGTCCCTATCTAAAAAAATCAAAATAGGTAAGTAAATAAATAAGTAGACGTGTTGGGTTAAAATAAGAAATCATCAATTATATATGAGAGAAGTTGTACTTGGTTAAAAGAGACAGGTTCTTAATTGACCAGTGTTTGGTGTTTGTCTCCCATCCAAGTACTAACCAGGCCCAACCTTGCTTAGCTTCCGAGATCAGACGAGATCAGTGTTTGGTCTTTGTGTTCCCAGAGTTGTGGCATATATCAGTAGAATAGCATAGACATTTTAATCCATAGATTGGAATATTTATCCATGGAAAAATTTTTTCCTAAACAGATGTACATGTTTAGATTAATATTTGATTTATAATTTCAATCCTGTAGATTAATTTTTGATTTTTTTCCTTTCAGATTTATCAAAGTTTTGGCTTTGTTGCAAAAACTGGTTGAGATTTAATGTTCTTCTGGTGAAAAGTGTGCATATTGTGACTTATGTCAGCCCAAGAAATACACAAACATACCATCCTCCCTCCTATCATTAGCAGAAGTGACAAGGAATTTTTGGAAAATATGCGGAGATACATAACTACAGAAACTGAAAGAGTGGGCTGTGATGAGAAAGGACCTGCTGATGAATATTATATCATATACAGAAATGTTTTTGACAAGGTATTGCGATGCTCTTAAGATAATGAAGTTTTCATGGAGATAGAAATGACTTGTCTTGCCAACTAATACTCCTGCCTTCTGATAACCTGACTGTTTTATTACATTCTGCTTGCCATTTCAGAGACGTTCGTTAACAGATGAATGGGGAGAAGACAATGCTGGATTTGTATTATCTGCTAAGAGTTTTCTTAGTTTAGCTTTGCAGACTCTTTTTTTTTTTTGATGGTATTGGGGGTTTAACTCACGGCCTTCAGTCTGAGCTACATCCCCAGCCCTTTTTATTTTATTTTTTGAGACAGAGTCTTATTTGCCCAAGCTGGCCTCAAAGTTACTCTCCTGCCTCAGGCTCCCAAGCAGCTGTAGTTACAGGCAGGCACCACCACCCTGGGTTTAGCAAGCCATTCTGATCAACAGTCTGGCTGTGTGCTCTGATACCACTTGGACCCTTTCATCTGAAGGTTGCATGTGAGAACCTAATCTTTCCTTGTTGTTTGGGGTTTGTTTATGGTATCATTAAAGCCTTGGTTTAGACTTGATTTAGTACATTAAACTGAGACCTTTTGAGTTAGCTGTACTGACCTGTGCTTGTAGTTGAATTGCAGTGGAGGCTGAGGCTGAGGCTGGAGAATTCTTTGAAACCAGGAGATCAAGGACAACATGGGCAGTATGGTGAGAACCCTAGTTCAGAACAAATAAATAAAATAAACAAATGGAAAAAGAAAAGCTTGATTTAAAGATCAAGATGTCTTATAGATACGGTCTAAATGAGCATAGTGAACAAGCAGTTTGACTGGACCTAGAGGAGATCAGATTTAAAAAGTGTTATATACTTGATTTTGCTCTTTAAAATTTTAGAAATCACTTTTTCTTATAAATAATTATACTTTTCCCGTTGATTCTAATTAATTTTTTCTAAAAATATGGAATGCTTCACGAATTTGTGCGTCTTCCTTGCGCGGGGGCCATGCTAATCTTCTCTATATTGTTCCAATTTTAGTGTACGTGCTGCCGAAGCGAGCACAATTCTAATTATTTTGCCTTTAAAAAAAACAAAACCTGGGCCAGGGTTTTAGCTAAGTGGTGCAGCACCTGTTTGGCAAGCCCAAGGTTCTGAGTTTGATTCCTGATACAAACAAAACAAAACAAAAAACTCTCTTTTGAAGGAGCCCTGATTGCCCTGAAGTAATTAGGGTCAGCATCCTTTCCTCTTTGCCCGAGAGCAAGTTAGACTTCAGCAAACTATTGGTCTCTGAATAAAACAAGAAAATCAGTCTTTGTTTAATTGTTAAGTATGACATTATAAATCTTATTTCTCCTCTAAGTAAAAATCTAGTGGCTTAGCCAGGTGTGGTGGTGCATGCCTGTAATCCCAGCCCCGTTTGGAGGCTAAGGCAAGATCACCATAAGTTTAACTCCAATCTGGATAACTTAGTGAGACTGTGTCTCAAAATAAAAAATCAAATAGGGCTGGGGATATAGCTCAGTGTGAAGGTTCCAGGTTCAATTCCCGGTAGCAAAAGCAAACAAACCCTCAGTGCCTTATTCTAAGAACAGAGCGTAAAGCAGTGATACGTTCCTAGCAGTGGAATTAAGAAAATTGACACAGGAGTGAGAGCATAAAACAGAGAAAAGGCATCTTTAGGCCACTTAGATCCAGAAAAATCTGTCTTTTGAAATTGGTACATTAGTAGATTATCTTCCTTTTATATGTTATGATGATCACTTAATTATTAAGGAATGTATAGCATGAATATTTAAATAAAGGTAGTATCCTGAATAGATTTCATAAATATCAAGAATCGTGCTGAGAGTCATGCTGAGACTTATATGAAGTCAGTGAAGGAAATTGTACAACCTACTTATCTTTGCACGTCTGAATATTGACTTCTCAGAATTGTTCTTACCTAAAGAGCTGTCTGCTTTAAATTAGTATATATATAGTAAAATCATTTTTCAGTTGGTGTTGGTAAATTTAATACTTTGACTCAAAAAAAATATTTAATACTTTGAGAGAATACATGGGGTTATATATAAATAATATCTATATCTACAGTCCTCCTTTTCTCTCTTTCCTCCAAAATTTCTATCAGAACTATTTGTATATTTTATGTAAATTGTATATTTATTTGGCATTGTAAAGAATTCTGTTCTTCAGGATAGAGAGGCAATCTGAAATGGAAATCACTGGAAACTTCTAAAAGAAAAGCATTTCTTTTAGCTTCTTTTTCATTTTCACATTTGTTTCATTTTTTAAAATCTGTAATTGTTTGCAATTGTTATCTGTACTCTTGTAGAAAAATTCAATCCATAGCAGAAAAAAAAATCATATTTCAGGTAATAGAGCATGTTACTGCATACAAATCGATTCTTACTTCAATCAAAAAAGAGTATGATGCCTTTGTTGACACAATAAAGAAAAGCCAGAGAACCGCTTTTGCTCTTCAGAGAAAACTGAAGGCTTTGGCCACCGAGCCTACAGCTTTGGTACATCACCAGAGGAGAACAATGCAGCTCCAAGAAAAGTGAGTAGTCAGTAGCCCAAAAGGGGTGACTGTTGTTTAGTTAGTTATGCTAATCAGTGAGTGTCACTCTAACCAGGGCTTCTTAGTCTTTTAATTGCATTTTTATTTGAAAAGTCATATTTTATGTTGCCCCCTGCTACCAAGTTTTTATTTATTTGAAGTACAATGTTGTTTTGGTTTAAGCATTTTATGATACTTCTTATATAACTGGATGAAAATTGTAGTATCATAAGGTGAGGGATGCGGATATAGGTTCCAGTTAATTTCTTGCATGGAGGATTTGATAGTATAATTTCATGATTATTGTCTAAACTGAAGTACTTAATCCTGTGATGCATAAAGGTAAGTAACTTACTGGAAAGGATGAAAGTGTTCACTCTTACTGAGTAGTCTTGTGTTTCCAGTATCACTTTTGGCAAATGTTAAATTATTTGTATAGATAATTTCAAATTATCTTGGAAAATTGTGCAATTTGACTTCCATTTCTGATAGTACGGCCGCCTAGATTTTGGATAGACTTTCCTCCTGGAGAAAAATGCTACTGAAAATGTTTTTTAAAAACCTTTCTAAAAGTATAAGAAATCTGACGAAATAATAAGAGGTCATCTGGGTAAAATCTAATAAAAGGTAAGCAGAGCCTGAAAGCTGCTTTGGTCCTGAGAACATTTTTCTAAACTAGTGAAAATTTCAGTATTTTCTGTCCAATAGGAGATTAAAGACAAAGTCTAGGATCTGCCACAGGGATGCAGTTGACTAGGTAATCCTCTCCATCTAAAGCCAGAAGATAAAGGGCTGCATCCTACTAGAATTATTCTACCTCTGGGAACAGCACAGGAAATTGCATTCTGCTCAGCAGATTCCTGATGGGCACAAGATAGACTCTTGGATTGTTTTGTGAATGATGTCACTATGAACGTTCATGTATAGTGTCCTAGTCCCTGGCTTCAATTCTTTAGGAAGTCTGTTATTTTATTTCCACAGCCTATTTTATTTATTTTCCACTACTTTATCTCCACAATCTCCTTTTCATAAATACTGCAAGCTCTTACTGAGTCATCTGTAGGTTCTGAAAGCTGTGTATAATAATCAGAAGTTGCCTGCACTTATCTACACCAAGCTGGTTATGTGTCTTTTGTTTTGGGCCTGGAGATCGACTCAAGTGTTGAAGCCAGGGTCTCCTACTGAGTCACATCCTCAGTTCTTTTTAATTATTTTTTTGAGACAGGATCTAAGTTGCCTAAGCTGGGCTCAAATTGGCATTCCTCCTGCCTCAGCTTTCTGAGTAGCTGTGATTACAGTTGCGTGCCATCACGCTTGATGACAGACTAGGTTTTAATTTGAAAGAAAACCCGTGTCACTGACAAAGATCCTCTCATCAAACTATTTAGGCTTCCCTGAACCCTTTTTCAACCAGGCTTGAGTTTTGAGCTTTAATATTCACTGTACTGTTCAGTTTTAACAAGAATCCTGTCAGTTGTTTTAGGCGGAACTCATCACCCCTTGGTATTTGGTCATCTGACTGATTCCACAGACTTGGGTTTCCTCGCCCCACATGTTGACTGTCCATCATGTGACCTGCTGTTGAAGGAATCCTTGGGCAAGTCAGTTTCCTGGGAAGCTCTCCTTCCAGCGTTTTCTCTGAGTAATTTTCCACCCTCTCCTTCCTGACTATAGATTCCCAGTTGCCAAAGCTGCATTTGGAGTTGAGCCCGGTCTTTCTCCCCCACAGCAACACTTCGTTGCCTCTGCTGTCATGGCCTCTTGCTTCAGTGGCCATCTTTACCATGTTTTAACAAGTGTTAATTTCCCTGTAACGGTATCTAATCTATTTTAATCTGTTTTCTTAATTTAATGTTATTTATCCTTTGTGCCAACAAAGCTAAGAAGTAAATTTCAAGTCATCCTTAAAGTTTTTAGCCAGGTGCAGCGGCGCACTGCGGTAGTTACAGCTACTTGGGTAGGAGGCAGGAGAGTTAGGGGTTCAGGGCAAATCGGGGCAACACACCAACATCCTGTCTCAAACACAGATAAACAAAGAAGCACAGCAAGAATGCATGGAGAAGGAGGCATGAGACAAATGAACAAATGAATCAGTGAAGGAAGGAATTTATACTCCTAGATTTTTAAGATTCTCTTTTCTGAAGGAACTTAATTTCACCTCAGTCGGTGCTGTCCTTCCTCTTGCATCCATGTGACTGCATTGGGATGAACGAAGGTCCTCAAAGATACCAGGTTCTAATCCTTGCAATGTGTAATTCTTTAACTTAATTTGAAAAAGGTCTTTGCAGATGTGAATTAGGCTTTTGAGGTACGGAAATAAACTAGGTGGGCCCTAGACCAGTCATAAGCATCCTAAGTCTCCGTAGAAGAGGGAGCAGAGAGGTGTTTGACACAAGGGGAGAAGACTGTGTGGCTGTGGAGGTTTGCAGGCCCGGGCTGGTGGAGGCGAGGAAGGCTTCTCCTAGAGCTTCCAGGAGAAGCACAGTCCTCACAGTTTTATTCTGGTCCTATAATACTGATTTTGGACTCCTGTACTTCAGGACAGTAAGGCAATGATTTGTAATTTAGTCATTAAGTTTGTAGTAATTGTTATAATAGCCACAGAAAATCAATACATTTATTTACAAAAACAGTTTGTAAATTGCAAAAGTATTTCTGACTACAAGGAATAGGTAGTACTTTGAGGTCAGATTATGCTTAACACTTAAGAATTTCCAATGGAATTAATGATCATAGTATTAGGTTTTACTGATGCTCTGAAAGAATATTATTCCACATTTCTAAAGTTAACTTTCTCAGGACATTGTTTCCTAAACTACATACTTTACATGATTCAAAATAACTGAGCAGAATGCTTACTCTGTTTTATTTTAAATCTCATGACTTAAGAATTAAATTAATTGAAAGAAAAATCAGAAAGCCTCTCTGTTTTTCAGAATAAGAATTATTAAAAATAATTCCTTGAAGATTCAATTGCAAATAGATCAAGTGAAACACCTGAGGGCAGACTATGATGCAAAAGAAGTGAAATACTGTACTTTCACCAGAGATGCTTCAAAACCTATTCCAGGTACTGTGCTTCATTTTAAACACTTACATGAAACCCCAGTTGTTTCTGGTTATTACCTACTACAAATTAACGTAATTGTACTTTAATGTGTGCACTTTCCACTTGTACGTTGCATAAACAAGTTTTAGTCAGAGTTTTAGGTTGATGAATGGCAAATAGAAAACTTTAAACAATCCTAAAAGGTCACATGAATTCCAGTTTGGCTAAATTAAGTATGGTTGATTTATCCATGTCAGCATCACCTGGGAGCCAGTTAGAATGTAAATTATTGGACCTTACTGCAGACCTATTATGTCAGAAGCTTGGTGATTCAGTCTGATAGTGTTTTATCAAGTTCTGGGTAGTATGTAAAACTAGCCATTGTGAATTTTGTGGTCCTTAACAGGGTATAAGATATTTGGTAGGTTTTTATGCAAAGGCGGAATCAATAACTAGAAATTTGAGAAAGCCAGATTTAGTCTAATGGAAGAAGTTGTACCTTGAAATTACTCTATACTAGAAGATTTTAACTGAGTTTGAAGGATCATCTTGCATTTGGTGGAAGAAGGGGTTAGATTCATTTTCAAATAAAACAGTCACTAGCAAACTCAAAATAGCATACCTAGGAGAAAGTGCAGAAAAACTGCTAAAGTGACTATTGAGGAGATTCAGGGTATTGGAATGATTCCAACCTCATAGGATGAATCCAGGGAGAAGATTTGAGATATATCTTTTATTCCATTATTGGTTGGTGCCCTCACACTCAGGATGGGGCTTCCTTCCTGTTCGTCCATTATTCAGACACACCCAGAACTATGCTCAGCCCATCAGCTGGGCATCCCTTACCTCAAAGTGACACAACAGTTAACTGTCACACTTGACCCGTTTGATTTGTTTCTTTTTTTCCATAGGTATGACTCTCCAAGAGTCTGTCAATTTAGATGCTCTCAGTAAATATATGAAACGACTCGAAGATAAGTATGTAGAAATTAAACAAGCTATGTCAGTAAAATATATACCGGCTCAAAAGAAGGCTGATTTAGATCAGGAAATGATTGTGTTACTAAAACGGCGAGATATAGCAGAAAATCTGAACAAAGAATTACAGTTTCGGTATGAAAACTGATTACAGACTTTTAAAGTTTGATGATTTTATTTGTATTTATTTTCATTTTCCACTGTTTGATTTTAGGCTCAATATGTTGTTGATGCCTTTTGTCTTTGTAGCTATCAAAGACTGCAGATTGTTTCATATGCACTTACGTCATGGGTAAAATCTGATATGAGCAGCTCATTTCAAGACTTCGTGGACCAAATTCAGAAAACCATGGGTTTAAATGGTAGCCTGTCTATCTGTCTCTGTCTGTCTCTCTGTCTTGTCTCTGTGTAATTTTTTCCGCAGTGCTGGAGAATGAACTCAGGGCCTTGCACATGCTAGGCAAGCACTCTGTCAGTGAACGACATCCCCCAGCTCCCTCCCCTTTTTAAAAAAGGCTGTGGAAGGATCTTGGTAAGTCACCCAGGCTATGCTTGAACTTGTGATCCTCCTGCCTCAGCCTCTGAAGTACCTGGGATTACATGTATGTGACATCATGCCTGGCTTGTCTATATATTTTTTTAGTTAGCACAGTGTAAAACATTTTTCCCCAGAAAGCTTAAAAAATGAGGTTTTCCAAGGCTGAGTTCAAAGAAAACTCTGTTAGTTCTATTACTTTTTGGGTTTCTTACCTCCATAACTGGCTGATTGTTGGTAAAGAACAGATGTGGTGAGCTAAAGAGAAATGCCAGGACGCACAGACGAAAGTGACACGAAAGCCCTTAGTTTAGGAAGAGGTTGGCATTGTTTGAAATCAAAGCTATAATTGTTAGTATTAAAATGTGTGCTTATTATTTTCTGTAGATAAGTGACCTCAAATATAGTGATCTTTTTGATATTTACAGGTGACCAAGGCATTTTGGAAGAACTGTTTGAAGATGACCCAAGCAAGGCAAAAGATGCTGAAATTATGCTTTACTACATTGAAAGGCAAATATTTAAAAAGCTGCGATTTTCCATGTATACGTGACCACATTTGTGTTTAGTTGGTATATTTTGTTTTAAATGCTGAGACAGGGATCTTGCCATGTTGCTGAAGCTGCGATCCAATGTGAGACCCTCCAATCTCAGCTTCCAGCTTCCCAGCGGGGACTCTTAAGTGTATGCGATTGCTATTTAGTCTCTTGAGCCACACTTTTTGGCTTTTTTTTTGAGACAGGGTCTTGCTGAGTAGTTCAAACTGGCCTTAAATTCACTATGTATGTCCCCCATGCTGGCTTGAGACTCACAGCAACCCTTCTGCCTTGGCCTTCTAAGTGCTGGGGTTAGAGGCACTTGCCTCCATTCCTGAGTAGCTGTTAGTTTTTATGTCTTTAAAATTCTAGTTGATGATTAGAAAATAAACTAGAGTTTTTTTGGTAGATTCTTTGTCCAAAAAAATACAGCAGTCTAGGAGGTTTTTGATAGGAGATAAGAGGATTATAGTGTTGGTATAAATTTTATTTATACTTTTCTTGAATTTCCTATCAACTTATATTATTAAATGTTTTTGAAAATATCTTTTTGGTTCACATTATCCTGGCCAATTCGTTTGCCTTATTTCCATTGTGTACCATATTAAATGGTTTATTTCATCCTAATAATTTAATGAACGTATGTAATATTCCTAGTCTTTCTCCTCAATTTTTTATTAGCATATGTTTGCAATGCACACTCAACACATTTATCATGGAGGAATTAGTACATATGCATACTGCATCTTTTTTTTAAAATTCTTTTTTTTTGTCTTTTTCCTTTTTATCGGTACCGGGGATTGAACTCACGACCGCCTGCTTGCAAGGCAGGTGCTTATGCCACTGAGCTAAATCCCCAGCCCTACATATTGCATCTTGATCTTTGTTACTTCCCCTTTCCCTGCCCTTCCTTTCATGTCCACGTCCCTTTCTCATCCTTTAAAAAATAACTTTGCTTCATTGATCCTTTATGTTTTTTATTATTCTTTTTTTGAGACAGGCTGTGTCGTTCCCTCTCGCCTTAAACTTACTGTGTATCCCAGGCTGGCCTTGACCTCGCCGTGACCGTCCTGCCTCAGCCTCCTGAGTGCTGAGGTTACAGGGGGCACCACCACACCTGGCTATTTTTTATTATTCTCAATTTCATTAATTTCCATTCTGATCTTTTTTATTTCTTTCCTTCTATTAGTTTTAGATTAGGATTATCCTTTCTAAGATTTGGAAATCCATTACTAGATTATTTCTTTGTGACCACTCTATTCTTTTTTTGTATGTACAAGATGATGATTAGGAAATAAACTAGAGGGGTTTTTTTTTTGGTAGATTCTTTGTAAAAAAAAACAAAAACCAAGTGTCTAGGAGATTTTTGATAGGCAATAAGAGGATTATAGTGTTGGTGTAAATTTTATTTATATTAATATTAAATTTCCTTCTTTGAACTGCTTTTATTGTCCCACAGGTTTTAATATGTTGTACTTCCATTATCATTTGATTCTAGGAAAGTTTTTATTTCTTCCCTGATTTCTTTTGTGGTCCACAGAGTATTCAGTAGCGGGTTATTTCATCTCCATGGGGTTTGTGTAGTTTCTGTGACTTTATTGCTATTGATTTCTGGCTTCATTCCTTTATGATCCAATAATATGCAGGGAATTATTTAAATTCTTTTGTATTTACTTATTTGTATTTACTCTTTATGGCCTAAGGTATGGTCTATTTTAGAAAAAAATTTCACACACTGTTGAGAAAAATTTGTGGTTTGTTATTTATGGAATACCATGTAGGTATCTGTCAATTTTGTTTGTTCGATGGTGTGGTTTAACTCTGGTATTTCTTTGTTAATTGTTTTGTTTGGCCGACCTAACTGTGAGGGTGGCCTTTTGAAGTTTCCCACTATGAATATATTGGCGTCTATCTGTCCTTTAAGTCTGGTAGTTTTTGTTTTATAAGGTGGGGTGAGCCAACAATCAATGCACAAATACTTACAGTTGTTATCTCTTCCTGTGGAATCGTTCCTTTTGCCAGGACGTGGTGTCCATCTTTATATTTTCTGAACAATTCTGGCATGAAGTTTGTTGTGTCTGAAAATAAGATCGCTAGTCCTGATTTTTTCTGGGATCTGTTTGAATGGTGTATGCTTTTATTTTCCACCTGTGGACTTCCTGTGGGGTGAGTGGCTTCTCCTGTGGGCAGAGTATGGCTGCATTTTAATCCAGTCCACCAGTCTGTGTGTGCTGACCGGAGCCGAGGCCTTTGATACCGACGGTTGTTATGGGAAGGTGTTTACTGCACGTCTGCTGCCTCTGTGCACTCCTTCTGTTCAGTTAGTCTCCCCGCTAAGTGACACTTTCCTTTGGGCCCCTGTTTGCTGGGGGCCTCCCTGTCTCATTTCCAGGAGGGAAAATACTCCCTTGAGTATTTTCTGTGGTGCTGGTTTTGTGGTCACGTATTTCTTTAGGATTTCACTTTCCTGGAGGGTCTATTTCTCTGGCAATTTTGAAGGCTCATTTTGCAGGAGATACAAGTATGGGCTCATAGTTGTTTTCTTTTAGGGCATGAAAAAGTTCTCTGTGGACTCTCCTGGCCTTTAAGATTGAGACATCTATAGTTAATTTTATGGGCTTGTTTCTTTATACCTTATTTGTTCCTTTTCTCTAGCAACTTTTTGTATTTCTTTTGTTGAGTTTCTGGAGTTTTGATTATGATGTGTCATGGCGAGATTTTTTTCTGATCATGGCAATTTGGGGCTCTTCATGTTCTCATACTTCAGTATTGATTTCCCCCTAGATTTGGTAGTTTTTCCTGCTATGCTTTTGGTTAATAAATTTACACATTTTGAATCATCTTCGAATTTTTCCTTTATTTCTATAATTCCATGAGTGATTTTTCTGTTTTGTTTTGGTTTTTTTTTTTGGAGTCATCTAGCAGCCATTGGGTCCAGCTTGCTTGGTGTCTTGTCATTTTTGGCCTGTCACTGAGTTTATGGTGTACCCTATCCACCTTGTATTCTATTTCTGACACTCTGTCCTCACATTGGTCAAGAATGTTACCCGTATTTTTCATTGACTTTTAAATATTGTCTCTGCTGGCTTTCTCTTCCTATTTTCTCCTCTTTTCCAAAGTGGTAATTCATGTGTTATATTGTCCTTCTTACCTCAATTAGTTTGTTTCTGTAACCTCATTGAGCATTTTATTAGTAAAATCCCTTATCTGTTTACTTAAATCTTTGAGCTTGTTAAGCATCTTATAGATTTTGCATATGTATTTCTTATTTTGTCTTATCAAACTTTTTTTTTTTTGTCTTTTTGAGACAGTGACTCACTATGCAGTTCAGGCTGGCCTTCAGCTCACTTTGTAGCCCAGGCTGGCCTTGAACTCATAGCAGTCCTCCTGCCTCAGCCTCCTGAGTGCTGGGATTATAAGCATGTGCCACCATGCCCGGCGTCATCAAATATTTTAAAATCTTTTTTATTTTTTTAAATTTTTAAGACACGTTTCATTCTGTAGTGCTGGATGGTCTTTAACTTGAGCCACAACACCTGGTTTATCAAGCATTTTGGCTATTTGATTTTTGAGTTTTGTCTATTGCTTCTTCTGCTTCAATGTCTGTGATGTTAAGGGGCTTTGGGGGATATCTTTTAGCCTTTCTTTCTAACATTTTTTATCTTTGTGTGCGTGTCCTGTGGGTTGAAGATGAGTTAGATTAGAGAAACTGTAAACGTTATAGAGATCTCTCTAGGTAGACTGTGGTTCGCTGTGATGTATCCTAGGGTTTGACTATGTTTCCGTGTTTACATCCCTCTTCAATTTATTCAGCATAATTGTTGAGTCTGTTTAGTGTCTGAACTTATTCTGGCTGCATCCACAGCACCACTCAGAGAAGATAAAATGAACTGCAGTAATGTTAATGATACAAACTACTTAATGGCATAATGTAAAAACTAATTAAAAGCAACAATAATGGCACCATTAACAATAGAAAAGAAATAAGCAAAGTAAAAGAATCATAGACAGATTTATTATGTACAAGTCATAAGAACCAAGAGTAGCTGCAAATATATCATGTAACAATGTAAAAGAGATCTCCAATAATAGTATAGCTACAACAACCAAAAAAATATTGGACATAGCAAATATCTACTAAACCACTATACCGCCATTAACAATAGGAAAGAATTCAGTAATAATGGCATAGAATCTGCCAAAAAGCTTAATAGTAATAATAAAGATGGAAGAGTGATTAAAAGGAAAATTAAAGATGTATAATTTATTTTAAAGAGATTAAGACAAAACAGGACATAACAAAGCAGATCAGAACAGAAAATGGAAGCAACACAGTATTTCACGAGAAAACAACCCATAATTAATAGTCACTACCACAATGTCTCTTTCTTTGAATTAGCTGCATATAACTTCATACATAATAGCATCAAACATAACAAAATAGTATAAAAACATTCAAGAGAATAAAAGTATTACAGGGCATTCAGAACCAATAACAGAAAACAAACAATGGTTACTGTATTATCTCATTTTCAATAGAAAATTTATTTATACTTTCACATGTAATGCAATCCAATAAGGTACAGCATGATAGAGCCAATGGGAACAGAAGAGCAAAAGCATGGTAGGACTTCAGGGTAAGTTGATATTATATCAGTACTGGCTATTATAATGACTTGTTTCCCTCAAATTAGCTGTTCATATCATCACAGATAATAAAATGAAACAAACCAGGACAAACCCATTCCAACTAATGAATGTGATCATTATAAGGCTTCAAAACAATGTAATGCGGAATCATGATTACCATAAACTCTTATGTACTCTTATTATTTCTTACACTAGGGAGGCTATATGGTATTTATACATGAGAATTTGATTTATTTCAGTATTTACACATGTGAGTTTGATTTATTTCGCTTATGAGTATGGTCTCAAGCTGCACTAATTTATTAGTAAAAATCTCAATGTGATTAT